CGACAGTTCCAATTTGGCATATCTTCTCGGATCTGAGAGCACTAGAATCGGCTGCGTTATTGGAAGGTGTACCACAGTAACAACTGGGACTGATCCGCAACCAGATCAAACAGGCAGGAGCGATCCACAAGGGCCAACTGAAACTGTAACAAATAAGGCTGCGTTTTTCTGTAAACTAAGCGCTGTAACGACGAAGGATGCAGCCCCCTTTAAGTAGGTATTAGGTTTCGGAGCGCAGCCCCCAGGAAGGGTTGGCAAAGTTGTCTAAAAGCAATAACCAACAAAGCTGGTGACGTGCTTTTTGACGCCGTGCGTTTGTGTGCTTCATTTTCTTTCCTGCAGTGAGGAGTAGTTCAACGGACTTATTGCACGAACAACTGCATTGAAAGATATGACATCAGACGACCTGCAGACTCGTGTTGGAGGTGGCGCGCAAGCAGCTGCCGTCCCTACCATTCTAATTGCAGGTTTGGTTGCTATGCTGACAGTCGTCTCTGCCTAGAAAGGCAAACTTCCGTTAGCTGCCTAGATAGCCACCCCGTTTCCTCGTCAGCTACTCTACAGAGAACTTTGTCAACCAATCCACGCTTGCTAGCTTCAGGCTGTGAAGCTTCCATTGCTGCATGGACAGCCAAACTGTAACTGTTCCAAGCAACAGACCCAACGCAGTGAAAGGTAACAAAGACATTGGGGAAAGTCAGAGTTTAGGATTTACACTCCGAGTCCTTCCCCCCTCATACGGCGGTTGCAGTTTTTTATCCAACTTGCAGCGAACAGCGAACTCGACAATGAACTTAACAATATGAGGCTAGCTCACTGTCTAGCTTCTCTATGCAGAGGCAAATGCCACTATAGCAGTTAGGCCTGCTACAAGAAGGGAGGGTACGGCGGCAGCTGCAGCGCCCTGGACAGGAGCTTTGAGGTCTTCCTCAGTCATTGCTGTCAGTAATGTTTTTCGTTCAGTGAGCGCTTCGTAATACTCCTTGCTGCAACACAAAACCAGGACATGAGAAAGCATACAGTCTAGTTCAAAGGCGATGCATTGTAGACCTGTCTTCCTAAGAGACCGCCCACTTGAGACTTACTCAAAAGGAGCCTTGTTCTCCTCCGCTGCAGGGTCCATCTGACAAAAAAGATATGCGCTTTTTGTTGTATTTCGGTTTTCCTGTGTGCCTTCAGTGCATATTCCAACGGCGCAGCCAACTTTGGTACTGTTAGACCAGAGGAGGCTTGCGAGGTTGGCGCCCTCGGGTTGCGTCCAGAACTCCTGCCAATTATCAGGATACGATTTCATATTCCTGAGGGGAGTGCAGCAATTGGCGCAACAAATACAGACAGAAATCAACATTTATAGCCGAGCGAATCGACGATGATGATGTGATGTGTGTGCGGTGTGCACGGGGCGGTTGGCAAGTAGAGTTGCTATTGCGAAGATCTGTTTGCCCTGTACTCTTTTTTTCCAAGCATAATGCAGATGCCGTTAAAGTCACAGAGGGTAGAAGAATAGGGCATATGCGTACACGATTCTACATTTATTATTATTATTATTTCCTATACTAGATTGTTTGTTTCCTCTTGTGTTAGTATCATCCTACAAGATGTGTCAAGCTCACGAAAGTCCAGCAGTCAGGGCCCCCTGCACCGATTGGCGATAGTTCCTGTCTTCAGCTGTTGTGAACTGTACGACAAATTCCTTCTTCTTCTTCTGAAAATTCAACAATGAAGCGCAAGAAGGCAAGTGGCTTTCAGGCTTTTCTGCTTAGGGGGAAGTCCAGAAGCGTCTAAAGCCGCACTTATGTCATCAAGCGAATCTTCTAAGGATGAATTTGCTCACCAGGCCTGAGATGGCATCCTCACAAGTGGTGACTGTCCGTCCACCATCCTTCACTGCAAATGTTTCCTTTACGCCGTCAATGAGTTCGTCGTCCTTCGTCAATTGACTGATCCGCACAGACATCTGGCCCACGCGGGCCAAGTTGACGGAGAGGTATGCATCTGCAAGCAATGCAAAAAACCAACAGGTGCCGTTTTCCTGTCACCAGGAGAACAAATGAGCGCTGAACTACCGACTGGCTTACTGTGTTCAAGCAGTGCAGTTATGGTGTTTTCCTGTACAG